CATGCTAGGCAAGGACTTACAAGCCGTAAAACTCCCAACCATCCCCGTTCCCATCCCGGTTCTCGCTGTTGTCTGGGATGGCCGGCTTTCCCTCCTTAGTTGGCGCAAACTCACTTCTCAGCTCTTCATTAAGTCAGAGCTCTTCGTCCTCGAGCTCGGAGGGCTTCAGCAGACCGCCGACCTTTTGTCGCCTCTCCATGTCTGCAGCTTTTGCGTCGGCTTCGCGTTGCTCCTTCTCAACCACAAAGAGCTCTGCATTGTCGCCGGCAAACTCCTTGAGAGAAATGAGGAAATCTCTAAGATTCAGACGGAACTTATCGTACGTCGTGTTGAATGAGAAGAGTCCCTCCACGAAGCTTGTCACTTGGGCGCTATCAACATGTTAGCAATTTGACCGACCCCACGAGATTCCGTGCATCAATCAGTACATACGCTTGCAGGTTTGGGAAGGCATTTCGCAGTAAGGCTGCTACTGAGTTGCCGAGATACTCCTTGTTGCTAGTTCCGGCTTGCGCTTGATCGGGGGTATAGATTGGCCCTTGAATCTTTGGCTGCGTGCCATCGGCGGGGTGGATATAGTAGAAGAGCTTCATCAGCAACATGGACTGAGTCTTAAATCCAGCCTTGTGGTCATTGTCAGTCACGACAAACAAAACATCCTGCAGGATGGTCATGAAGAAGCGCTGGAAGAAGGCATTCGCGGTAGCAACGTCAGTCTTTTCAGCAATGTTGTTGATCAGTTCAAGACACATGTTCAGACCAGCAGCCTCGACATCTCGGTTGTCGTGCTTGAAAGCCCAGGAGCAAGAGTCAATAACAAATTTGAACTGGTTGTTATCCAGCTTCAACAAGGCAGGGAAGCAGTGCAAATTGATGGCTCGAAGGAGATTGAAGAACTCGACTCGATGCTCAGGGAACTCGGAGAAGTCCTTGTTGATCATTTCCAAAGTGCATTCGAAGACATTTTCCATGATTGTTGGAACCTGGTCCTCCATCAGAGCAGAGAGCTTGGTGATGATGGTGGACATGGCCTTCAACACTTCGGCGTCACGAGCCCCCGCAACATTTCGGTTGTAATCGACGAGCACACAGTCGAGTAAAGGAGGAACCATTTGAGCACGAACAGCCTGCAGGTCTTCGGCCTTTTCGACGTAAATCTCAACAAGCTTGAGGATCTCCTTCTTGATGGTTCTCAGGCCGCGGACTCGGGGCATTTTCGTCGCCAGCTCACCTAGTTCAAAGGTTAGTCGTGTTGCAAAGTATTAATCATCCATGCATGCATGTTTGACTTGCCATCTCGAGCCACAGCCTCTGAGATGAGACCGCTAGTGGCGCGATACATCTCCAGCATGTCGTGGTAAATTCGTCCAATCTGAGGGTAAAAGTACGGCCCAATTGAGCTACAGGCAGAAACATTGGTCTTCATGATATTGCCAATGACTTTGATGGTCTCTGCATCTTGCAAGATTGAAGGGTTAACAGTGGCTTGCTTAATGATCTCGTCCCACGCAGCGTTGGGGATATTCATCAAATCTGCCAAGAGCCGCTCCTGCTGGTGCTTGTTGCCCTGGGCGGCAACCATGTAACCACACGCTTCGTAAAAGGTGTGGACCTGCTGCGGTGTCAAATCACACGTAATCTTGCCCATGTTCCTAACGATCTCCTCAATGAATGGCTCCTGCTCACTAGGCTGGAGGGCCACAAAATGTCTTCGGCACTGTCTGGCGATCTTGATGAAGGTATCGCAGGCCATGTCTTGCACACCTGGGAGAATAAAGTTAGCATGCTAGTCTTGTTCAGATGGCTGTCATTGCGGGTTTGGGGGGCTTACCCTCGTGAGACTCGTGCATAAACTCAAACAGCTTGTTGACAACCGTCTTAAGGAACTTCCAGTGCGCTTTCAAGAATCGAGGGTACTGGCCCACGATATACATAATGTTGCTGGCGACGACCGCCTTGTTGTCTTTTCCGCGCTTCATCTCTGTGAGCCCCAAAAGGTCCTTGATAACTGTGACTAAGAACCGCTTCTCGGTTTCCTCGTTCATGGCTAGGGAGATGGACCCAATGGCCCAACACAGGACATTGCAGTTGTGCCACGACCACTCAGAACCGTCAACCTGGCGGGCCAGCTTTTCAGTCATGATATTCTCCGTGTCCACCACGTCCAAGTGCGTCAGGTAAACCAGACATTCTCTGATAGTCTTATACAGCTGGACTGTGTCGCTTTCCTTGACAAACTCTCGGACAATCTCCCCTTCGTCGTTTTCAACGATGAGAACTTCCTCAGGCCTGACCATTCTCTCAATCATGACAACTCGCAGATTTGATAGGACCTCGTTGTATTTGTGTTTTCGAAGTGGATAGTTCATCAAGAGCGTAGGGTTCGGGGCACCACTGCCAGACATGCCTCCCACAGCCATGAGCGGGTTGAGATCCGTGATTGGAAGCTGCTGCATCTCCTCGTACAATTCCTGGACCAGCTTCAGCCAGTAATCCAGGCAAATTTTGAAAATCTCGCGGTCGTCAATCTGCGATATCCGGATCAAGTAGTAGTGTCCGTGCATCAGGTAGTCTCGATTCGGAAGGTTTTCGATGAGCTACAAATGGTTAGGACGCAGTGCACGAATACCTATTCGACTACACTTGTAACTTACGTTCAGGTGGGTTCCAAAAAAGTTGCAGAGAAACAAGGCCAAATTCTGAACAAACTCTTGGTCCCTTGAGTTGCTCGTAGGGTAAGTCGCCTTCAAGTCCAGTGAGACGGGGATGATGTCCGCAATTGTCGTCAAGACCTCTGTGAACATCTTGACCAGTTGCTCGTCATACGAGTTCGATTGACCAGCGCCGCCGGTTTGCAGGCCACCAATTTCCGTCAGGCACTGAAGAGTAATGTTTCGGAACTCGGGTACGGACAGAAATCGTGTGCGCAGGGTTTCGATGAGGTTGGTCTCGAAAATGTAGCCTAGAGGAATCCAGTTGCAAAATCGCAGCAACGTCTCGAGGGTGGCGTGAACCAAGCTGGGCTGGTCTGCAGTTGTAAGGACTTCTTGGCAAAGCTGGAAAATCTGTGAAAACTCGGCGCACATAGTCTGCTTGAGATTTCTCGTCTTTGTGGAAGTCATCTGCTCTGCCGAGTAGTCAAACACTTCTTCTGAAAGTAATCGCAGGATGATCATGTTGTTCTCGCAAATGGACAGGTTCGCGTGGCAAGACGAAATGATTTCGTTTATGAAGGTGGGCCAGTTGTGAGGCCACTCCTGCTTGAGCACAGAAATGAGAACGAGATTCAGCTTGTTGAGCAGGGTTTTGTTTGACTTCAGGGCATCTTCAGAGCTAGAGCACTGGATGATGAATTGGACAATGAAATTTCGGATGCCTAGATGACGAGGTCAGCTGCAAAACGAATCATCATAATAATGAACTGCAAGTAAAAGAGAGAAAAAAAAGGCCGAATAATGGAAAAGCGACAGACCTTGGCACTGGTCGCGAGGCAACACCTTCCACCTCGTCATAATGACATTGTCGAGAACCTGTAAGCCCAAGTCTTGAGGGAAAAAGTTAGCGTCTCGTGTACCGTCGATAGTGAACCGGGGATTTTCGCCATAATAGCCATCAAGTGATGTTGTTCCAGCGTACATTTTGTCTGGGGGTATTGCGCGGTCGAAAGGATCTTGTCTACCATAAGCCAAGCATCGGGATCTTCTTTGAACTACTAGCATAGTTAGCCATGCATGTTTTCTTCTTTTTTTCCTTATTTTTAGGCGAAATCAAGCTCCTTAAAGGCAAAGAGCGTATTTTTGATGCAATTTCAATTCGTCTCGGAGGCCTTTGTCGGTTGCCATTCCAGCACAGCTGGGGGGAATATTTACCTGGTTCAACGCGGCTTGGGCGGCTTTTTGCTACGGTGTGGAACAAGCAGTCCGCAGTCAGTCAGCACATCCCAAAGATTTGAAATGACACTCTTTTGTGTGAAAAGTTGAAGCCGGAGAGGGGTGTTGTCCACATACCTGGTCCCCGCGACCTTCGTAAAAGGTGCGGACCGTGGTGTCGAGCTCTTCGATTGTGACAGCCATGGCCTGAGCAAGACGAGGCTAGCAACGAGGGGAAACGAAACCAAGGGCGGGGGAAGCCTGCAGAAGTTGCTCGACGGATGCGAAACCTAGGCAGCGCGCAAGATGAAACAAAAAAGAGAAGTGCGGCGCGTCAAAGCTGTGTGATGCTCCGGCAGGGGAATATTCGGGAGGAGGATCGCGAATATAGAAAAGAAGGTCGTGTGTGATGGGGGTGGGAGTGGAAGAAGCTTGCTCTGCGTGTGATGTGGTTGGTGGCGGCTGGGCAGACGGCGGAGAGGTGAAAAGAAAAATGACACTGACACGGACATGGACGTGGAAGTGGACATGGTGCACTCGGGCAGCTGAGCCCCAGCCAGGCGAAGCACCAAAAACACCAGTTGACCAGACTTGAGCAGCGGTCAATTGCTCCATGACAGCGCTTGAATGCCTAGATCCAGGTGGTCCAGTGGCCAAAGGTGGGGTGGTTTTCGTTCCTGTTTGGCGTGTCGGGACAAGCCACAGCACTCGTTTGCCTAAAGAGGAGCTGAACTGGTGCTTAGACGTCAACTGTCAACTGCACAGGTCAAGTCCATGTCCGCCAACGTGCTCGACCGTCAACGGTCAATACTCAAGCGCCGAACTAGGTGCCTACTAATAGGTACTTACTTAGTACCTAAGGCGGGTATGTGGTGTCTGGTGTTCCAGATCAATGTCCAGCCTACGTAGCCTGCCGCTCAGCTACCTTTCACATCGCCACGCAACGTCATGTCAAATACCGTGAATGTTCCAGTTGCTCCGTCAGGTGGGGTCAAGGACCGGGGCTTTTAGATGCCGCATTCTCAAGCTCCAAAGACATCTCCCTCGGACACAACCACCGGACCAAGTGTGCCTGCGCCTAGCTGGAGACGAACGTGTAAATGCCAATTCACCGTCCCCCGCAGCCAATTACTACTTGCCCATCGGTCCATCAACCTGCTGACGCCGGTGTAGCTTCTGTTGCGTGAATTGCAACTAGCTTTTGTCAGCATCTCGATCCCTCCTCCCCTCTTTACCCGTATTTGCCCCTCCTGTCCGCCTCGGCTGCCTCTGTGATTGAGCCGTGCCCACCAAAAGCTCACAATGTGGCGCTGACCAACGCCGGGAGGGGCGGGCAGGTTGTGGCTGGTCCGCCGGCGGCTGTTTGAGGTCTTGTAGCAGATACCTTTCTTGCTGAGCTTGCCGCCACGACGTGGGGCACCCGAAAGCTGCAACTGTCGGTGAAGTGCTTCGCTATGACGCTGCGGGTTCATGTACTCGGTACCTTGGTCCTGCTTGGTGTGCCGTTGAATCGTTCCCTCAGACCTGCTTTGTGCCCGGGTTGTCACACCACCACCCGATGTGATGACCATGTTCATTCGCTCCGGCTGAACCTGTAGTCTCCCCGAAAAATCCGAAACGCAAATTAACCATGTCTCACCAATCACTCCCAGCAAAGCCGCGGTGATAATGACCAAGTGGTCCCTAAATGAACAGTCACAGATAGTCACGCACAACATCCCCGTACACGCCCTCAATTCCATCACAAGCCAAATAAAAAATATATCGCCGGCTGCGCGTTTGTAGCTTTCTCATAATAATCAGAATGCTGGCTTTTACTGTTCCCGCTTGCCATGTCTCTGTCCAGGTTTGCCTTTCGACGATAAATATTAGAGATAGGATATATTCGCTCAAATACTTCTTCTACAAGAAAGCGTGCTCTGCCTTGAGAGCCTCATTCTAGTTTGATTCAAAACAGGTTCTTTCTCAGCGTACAGTGACTCCAACATCCCTTATTATGCCTTGTAGCCAGACTCGGCCAAAGACTCCTTCAGAGCCTTGAGAGCATTGTCAATATCGTTTCGCTTGGGGTCCATCTGTAAAGAAGCGCAACTTAGCACACTGTTTTGCTAGAATATAAACCATATAATCTAGCCGAGGGAAAGGGTGGCTTACAGCTGAGGGCCCCATGTGTCCAAATCGAATATACTTAGTGCCAATCTCCTTATGCAGCCCACCGGCGAAGATGATGCCTTTATTCAACAGCTTGGGCAGGACATCGGGAATGCTGACACCATCTGGCAGATAAATGGCAGTCATGGCATGAGCCTGGTCCTCGGGCTTGGCTGCGACAACCTTTAGGCCAAGGTCAGCAACAGCCTTCTTGACCTTGTTGGAGACCTCGATGTGTCTCTGGAATCGCTCTGACAAGGGGCGGACCAGAATCTGGCTGACGGCAGTGTTCAGGGCGTGGATGAGCTGCGGTGAAGGAGTGGAGAAGTACGAAGGCTTCTTTGCCTCATAGTTTTGCATGACTGTCACACCCGAGGTCAGCTATTACCAGCGGTCAGGTATCAAGTATATCACGGCGGCTTCTTACTAGGGATCCATCTCTTCATAGAAGCAAAATAAGTGGCGGGCTCTGTCTTGCGGTTGTGGACCACATCAATGGCACGGCCGCTGAACATGGAGATGTGCAATCCGGTAGGGCAACCAATAGCCTTCTGACCAGCAGTAACAACACCATCCAAACCCCAGTCATCGAATGCAATTTCCTCGCAAGCAACGCTGCAGACACCGTCGGCAATGATAAGAGTCTCAGGGGAGACGCGCTTGACAACATCGCTAAGGCTCTTGAGGTCGAACAGGACACCAGTCGAGGTATCAACGTGGGTGGCGGTGATGATCTTGTACTTCTTTTCCTTGAGAGCCTTCTCAATCTCATCAGGCTGAGGTCGGCTGCCCACAGGCCCGGTAATCTTGGTTACATTGGCGCCATAGGCAGTGAGGCAGTCGGCGAATCCGTCTCCGAAGTAGCCGGTGCTCAGGACCAGAGCATTCTCACCAGGCTCAACCAAGTTGACAGCGACCATGTCCCAGCCCAGAGTACCAGAGCCATTGATAACGAAAGGCTGTGAAGCTGGATTGGTGGTCTGGAAGAGCTTCCTCAGCATGGAGAGAGTATCACCAAAGGTCGAGACAAAGCCGGGACCAACGTGGGACTCGCTGCCGAATTGTAATGGCAAACAGTCAGCAACTGGACACAAGCGTCTAAACCCCCACGGTTGTTCTCGTCGCCCATGGGTCACGTATTTCATTTGGTAGGACGTACCTGTAGTGAGCCATGGACTGGAGCACGGCATCGTCGAACTCGATGGGTCCGGGAATCATCAAAGCAGGATGAGCAGCTTGGGAACACATTTTGGCGACTTGTTGAAGGCGACAAGCACTCGATGTAGGATGGGATTCGGATTGGGCTCGTCGTCTGGCTGAAGCTTGGAACAATGGTCGAGGATGTCGATGTAAAGAAGTAGAATACGCCCTCGGACCAGACCTGGTGCTGGAGCTTGTTGAAGAAATGGAGGGGTAATAGAGGCTTTGGCGGGGCAGACCGGCCACATGCGCTAATGTCAAGGTCCTCTCCAGCGGTCGGGTGGAAGCCGGGGCTCTCAAGAGTGGGAGACGCATGGCGCCGAGGGGCCAGGCCGTATGCGAGCCCTTCGGAACGAGGCGCTTGAACCACTCCGGAATGCAATGCTCAATTGCACCCGGATATTTCAAACAAAAGGCAGCTGTCTGCTCCAATCACGGCTCTACAAAGCCGCAGGAGGGTGTCTAGCTCTTATGCAGTCTCCGTCAACGGAACCAGAAAGAAGAGAAACCAGGTGGTCGAGGGCCGCGAGGCGTCCCTGTCGGCTACGGTGCCGGTACCGGGCCAACCAGAGCGCTGGCCGCCGCCGCCTTCCGCCTGATGCGGCAGCTGAGCCCATGTGAAGATGGGCGCAGAGGAGCGCGGACGGGCACCCGGCGTTTTCCGGCGTCAGGTCAATAGCACACACCAGGTACTCCGTAGAACGCATCACTACTTACCAAGTGCCTTGATGCATCAAACAGAGTAGCCTGTTTCTTCTCAAACACCAGTCGGCCTCTCAATGCTCCTCGGTGCAGGTACCGTGGTGCCTAGTTCTTGGCTGATTAGCAACATTCGACAGTACTTTCCGCTTAAAATCGGCTTGCCTCGCATTGTACATCACCATCACCGTTACTCTGAGACCTGGCCGACTATGGAGCTTCGCATAGCCCTCGGGGCAAGCAAAGTGAGGTGACTCTATTTCACTACTCTTTGAGCCCAAACCCTACCGTAGCGCTACCAATCGTGATCCCCCTTCCGTTTCATCCCAACCGACCCAATCTTTGTATAATCCAAAATAGGTCCCTGGGACATCTACATCAGGCAGGCAACCTTGCGGCTACTGCAAAGCCCCGAAGATCCCACCTTGATGCGTGATGATTCACCCACCCACGTCCACGCTTCTACGAGCCACTCGTACCACACTTTTGTGTCGTCTGTTTGTCGCCACATGCTTACTTCGAGTTCTGTGTCGGCGGGGAACGATATCGGCTCCTATATCACCACTAGTCAGTTTCTGCTGCATTTACCAACCAGGGACCGGATGAGCTCACTTTGAGAGGGAAGAAGATGGGGAACCAGGAAATCATATCCTTGCTCTTCTGGTCAATCCTCTCAGGGTGCGTGCTGATCTCTACCTTTTCCCCCTTCTGACTCTCGAGCCTGGACTCGTACAGCGTAGATTCAAAGTATCCTGCCAGGCCGTGTGTGACGCCCTGTGAACGACACACAAAGGTAACATGGCAGTATCGAGAGTTGTGGTCATTTGCACCCGCTGCCCCGGCCATGCTTCCGCCCCCGCCACCCATAATCCCACCGGAGCGCCGGGCATCAATGTTGGTCAGGGTCGATTCCGGGATAGGGTGAGAGAATTCCCATGCTTGTTGGAATCGCGCATGTCCAGGGACCCTTTGGCAGACGAAGTCGAGGGCGTAGAGCCTTACGACCCAAGGGGTGTTGAAGGCCGTGGGTTCAGTAGCAGACCGTGCCAATATGTCCCCGTATACTTTTGGCGTAGAAATGGGACTCATGTGCGCCGTGTAAGAATGAGGAATGGAGATGCCGTGCGGTTTAGCAAGAACGTGCTGGATGCCATCCAGGCACTCGGGCGAAAGTTCATTATCGCCAAATGATCCAAGGAGTTCGGAAATCAAAATATCCACTTTGCCGTAGACAGGGCCGCCTGAAGATTGGGACACAACGGGGCCTTTCCAAGCCCGCATGTCAGTCTTGATGACGTTGACTTTTCCGCCCCAGAGCATGTGGTTCTGGCGTAAGAGGTAAACATAGGCGTTTGGATTCTTCTCTACGGCCCAAACTTCCACTTTCACGCCGGTGTACTCTGCCGCCTTCAACGCGCGCGTAACCAAGGGTCCTCTTCCAGATCCGGCTACTGCGATGACAACGACACCTTCCTTGGAGGTAGGCAGGTCGAGTTCCTTCCATTCGGACAGTGCTTCAATGACAGCTGCTTCATACTGGTCGTATTTTACTGGGTCTCCTTCGAATACTTCGTACGTAGCTGATTCCAAGTTATCTGATAACGGTTGAAGTGGAGATTGCAACCAATCCTGGAAACTTGTCAAAGTTGGTGAGTCCAGAACCGTCAAAGGAGGTTGTTGAGACTCCAGCCATTGCAAGTATGCCATGTGTGCGTCAACACCTGGGCGGCTGGTCTGGTTGGTCGACATGCCAGCAGCATCTGCTAGGCTGGGAAAGTCGTCTTCTGTCATTTCTGGCCTGTTAGCTACCGAAAGGATTGATGGGTCATTCGTCTTGAACTTTGATGCGTCAGGGCCGACGTCGCACAGCAGAATCCAGGGTGAGGCCTTTAGTTTCATGTAGCTGAAGATCATTTCCTGGTGGTGCTTTGACAGAGAAGGAAAGCCACTTTTGTTCTTTTGGAAGACTTCTGGACCGATGGTCAAATAGTGCAGGGGCTCCGCAAACCATCTTGTTTGCAAGTCTTTCTCGGGCATCATTCTGGGAACTTGGAGAGCTAGATTGGCATTATTAGCCGTCTGCTTCTAGCATTGGCTCACAAAATGGCTGCTAAACATACCCACGAATAATCGGAGATTATAATTGCAGATTGATCGAACATGGTGCCAAGAAGCCCACGCCGCAAAAAGATCAATCTCCTTGCTTCCCGGTGATGCAGGTGTTTTCTCCTCAAGCGACGACAGAGTCTCAGTCTCCTGCCCAGTTGTCGGTTCCTGATACATTGGCATGTGGACCAAAATTGTCAGGGCACTGCCAATGGTAAGGGCCTCCAGCACGGCACGAGAGTACTGCGCCAAAGCCTGGTTTCCACCGTTTTGAGAGGCATCGCGAGATGGTCCAGCGATGATGATACTCCTCACCCCGCAGAAGTTGGCATAGTTGATTTCGAGGTTCAGCACTTGTCGCGAGATACTAGCAATCAATGGATTGTTTGAGCACAAGTCGATCCACGGGCTAATA